TTATTCTGCACTTTTTTCCTGATTTTGTGTCATGGCTAGATAGCTGAACACACAAGCGACGTCTGATTGAAAAGAGGCGCTAGGAGCAGGATTCGGATACAACCATAACCGTGGCACCAGACACCCATTTATCCACTATACTCGCCGACGACGCGACGATACCCAGATTGTACTGCATCGTGCCTTGCCAACAGCAACAGAGTCATTCGTGAAGGCCAAGTACTTAAGAGGTAGGATGTTTCCTCTAGATCAAGCAGCATTCCAGACACCTTGGTAGCCCCAATCATCTAATCTTCTACCAAACCTCATTAATTACTGGCATAATCTACACCAAGCCTGCAGTCGTATCGGATCCACACGCAATTTTTATCTCTTAAAGAGAAGCTTAACTCTCACCACACCTACGCACATGTACCTTGCGGATAAAAAAGTCCCACTCTATGGGTCTAGTTTATATAGTCATGCTGGCCTTGATAATCTATCTTCAGTCTGCCTACCTCCGCCTCCGTGAAATCTTTGTGGTCTTACAGATGTTAGCCCTTCCCTTGGCATGAGCATTGATTAGCCTAATGTTGGTGTGCCGCCACCGTCCCAACCTCCTTAGTCCCCCAAAATTTAGGGGTTGCCACATCCTCGCCCATTCTAGTTTATCTGGGACCTGAAGCGTGCATATTCGATGTTTTCGCTTCAGTGCGTCTAGTTCACATTATACCGGTAGTTCCGTTGTTTCTTTGTGAGGGCAGATCTTGGAACAGTCTTGCGTAGTTTTTACTCTATTGGAAAATGCTTTCCAATCGTTCGAACGGGCGTCTCATTCTCTCATTCCCTCGTACTCTTCAATAAGACTCTCGTGAGATCTCCGGGGCGCTTGGGAAAGCTGACTATTCTTTCCATAATTTTTTTGTATTTATCTTGCTTGTGTCCCAAGATGATTGAAAAGTCTTAAGACAAGGGACAAGGTTTGTCAGGGGCAGGTATCCGTGGAGATGTCGTTCCCTAGATTTATCCACCATGGGTTTGGAACGTGGCACGAAGTAGCAGGGTTGCAGATAGGCTTCAGGCCCATGGCCGTGCCCATGCCAAACCAATCCGGTTAGCCCAGATCTCCGACATTTTCAGGCATTAGCCCCATTATTTCTGTCCCCTTGCCTGTGACTCTCCATTTCCAACGGTTCCGTGGAGCGTCCGTTGTATTACAGTGCGGACTCGATATCACCATATCATTCCGTGGCGCTGTTTTATATCGCTGTAAGATGATATCGGAGGGCAAGACTGAACAACTGTACGCGGTGTCCTCTACGAGCCTGGGAGTGAAATATTCTCCCAGTGCCAAGTTCAGTCAAATTTCGCAATATCAAAGAAGTTGGCCCACGAGGCAAAATTTTCAATTACTCCACCACAGCGTTTTTCCGCTCCCAACGAGTTTGACGCCTACCTAAGTCTCATTAAGTCTACAAGTACGACCTGGTACATCCTCATCCCAATGACCACACCTCTCTTCGACCTTCTCTGGTCTCAGTTGAACACCAAATACACGCCCACGCCGATATTTATACCCGAAGGAGGAGGAAGCAAAGCGTGGCGCACAAATCTGGAAGATAGTCCTTTGAGATGGACGTGAGAGGGATCAGAAAAAGTCGATAAGATGATGCAAAGGAAGGATACAATCTCGACGGGCGTGAAATTTCGAATTTTGGCAAGGAGTTTCACGAATTGTGCTTTTTACGCGCCAAGACTTCGCTTGCGAGAGTGCAGCTGACAATATAAAAATAAGTCAACGATGGAAGGTGTTGTGGTCCGCCTCCTGATGGTGTTCTCTGGTATAGTTTGAGTAGCCTGGGCAAGTGCTCCCATTGTGAAGGAGACATCTGAGATCATATTTCATGCGGAAATTGGTAAATTAGTGATGGAGGCATTTCTGGAAAATTCGGGGTATTTGACACGTTCTCTTGGGTGGGTATCCACGGCTGGGGGTTGACTTGGTGTGAAGAAAAAGCCGCCATAACTTCGCAGTGGTGCTTGCAAATAAAATCCTAGGCATGAGTGCTCTTCTTTCAAATTGAGTCATCTATGATACTTTTCTCTAATAATGTGTCATAGCTAGATAGCTGCATACGCAATTAAAATTTGATGCGAAAAGAAAATACGTACGACATTTCGGCGGCACATCAGATAGAGCATACGACAAAGATTGAGGCAACGATGCCTCAATCGTGGGCTCTTTTACCCATATTCGGCCTCCACAGTTAGGGATACATCAGCGAAGGGTCAAGGCCGGAAGGATGAACTATATGCAAAGTTTCTGAGAGGGCAATAATGCTATAATGGAGGAATACAAGGAAAGAATAACTGATGCGGCCTCGGTGGGTAACTGTAGATATCTCTGTTGAAGGCTAAGATTAATCACCGAAGAAATTGGACGGGGAAGCGTCTCTGTTCAAAAATAGGGACTGTCTTTTTTTTTGCATCAGATTTGAATTGCGTACGCAGCTATCTAGCTATGACACAATAGGGACTATCTGTACGTACGTGGATTGTTTGCTTTGATCAATGCTTGCATTGTGTATATAGAACCGCAGCACACTTACTCATAGCGCATGTCTGCATTTAGAGTCCAAGAGATCATGTCAATTATGGTCAGTGTATATAGTCCAACAATTACAGGGGTAATATAAATCAAATTGTTTTTATAGAGTTATCGTTTTCTTTAGAAATACACTCCGCCTGTCACAGGTCAGGCTCCCGGTCTTTTGACAGTCTCAATTGAAGAGAGCGACCCCTGGATGAGATGAGGAGATACTGGGAAGAGGCATGGGTTGAACTGATCGGAAAGTACGAATCTGAGTTGGGGAGGGTGTCAAGGGCTCGGGCGCGTGTTGGCCGAGACTGAAGAATAATTTCCATTTCGGCATGTAAAAATTGAGTTCTCTGGACGGTTGGACTTTACATATTCAACACATAGTTTTTAACCTGATCAAGCTCGGCCTCACTCGCGCTCAATCTTTGGAAGGAATGCGGAAGAGACCAATTGCCTAGCTCGTTGATATACAAACATTACCAAACTCAAGCAGTGTCGGTGTGCTATATTTATCTTTAGGAGGTCATCCACCCTTGCAGCGACCGGATTGGCCAGCTCGGTGCCCGCCCGTTCTAAGATAGGTCTAGCGCATTTGGGGCCATGTGAGTATCCGCAAGGGCCGGAGATGCCCTGTTGCCACGGCCAGCGGGGACCCAGCCGATGGATATGTTTTGTCTCAGTGGAAAGTTTAATGTGGAGCTGCTACCGGCTTGTCAGCGCGTGCTTCTTCTCAGTCATGACATGGAGGAAGGCTCAGCTCAACGTGTCGTAGCCGTATAGATGAATTCGCTTGAATAATGAAAAAAAGCTCAGCTCCCTACCCGAGCACGGAATACGAAAGATCATCAACACGCCCAAGGATTCTCCATGGTTGCTCCATATTCACTGGTGCCGCTCCTTGTATTTGTCTGCGGCGATTCTCGATTCTCCAACTTATCAGCGCCATCCATCCAACAAAAAACTCTATACTCATTTGTGCTCATTCTATCGCTCTAGTATCAAAAGTAACCTTCCAATTAAAGGCAACTGGCGGGTCGCGCACAGCCACATTATTTCTACGTAAGTGAGGGTGTTGATGGTAAAGGGAATGGCTTTAAGTGTCCTGCGCAGCTCTAGATGATCACGTAAATTGGGATGACTAAGATTTAACAGATAAAGATGACTCCTAAATCTACTCGTTTGCTAAGATGCTTACCATTTCGAGGACTGGCCCGTATAATCACCCAACCTCTTTTACTATCTATGGCCATAGTTAAACCCGCCACGTCAAGTTAATACCGTCGTCGGTCCTAATGAGCTGAGGCGGCATGTAGATGATTTGCGACCAATCTTATGCATAACTGCAGTAGATAGACGGTCGTGGCTAGTTGTTGTGCCGGGGGAAAAGGCTAGAAGTCAGAGGCTATGACCGTCTAGATCGGGTCGATACAATAACGGTGACGGCGCCAGAGGTCGGTCTAAGGGCGAATGCTGGCTACTGAACATGCGCCTGCACGTGGAAAAGCGAAATAGCCGGATAGTGCAGTGGCCTAATAAATCTCAATAGCTTGGCCACCGCTTTCTATCTTGTAAATTTTCGCATATTGAATGCCGGTAAGATCCTGCCTCGTCTCTCGCGACGCTTATTCATGGCACCATGAGAGTCCGCGTAGATGGTCTAGCGCTGTTAACGTGCGTGTGGTGAGAGCAGTTGTCGCTCAAATCAATGTATCCAGTGTCTGAGAGTTATCGTATATCAAAAGAATGTAATGACGGATGCCCAAGACCGAAATGATACGTAAGCTGATGTAGATTTGCCGATATCTAAAGATACATACTCTATATCTGGCCTTCGAGGACGGGGCTGAGCATACAGGGTTAGGGCTTGTGAAGAACGGGAGCCTTGACGATACAAGTCGCGGCTGGTCCTTGGCGATTTGGTAGAGCCACTTGGCCGATATTGGGTCGCAGCATGTACGTCGGGTCTGCCGAAACTAGTGTCGCGCCAAGTGTTCAACTCTGGTGGCAACGAGATCTTGGTATGCTAAATACGGCAGTCACCGTATGCTGTGGCATGAGCCAGCCCCCCCATGGTCGCGTGATCGGCTACGGTTATTCTACCTTGCGATCCCGCGCTTTAGATCCTTCCATTCTCTCTGAGCCCTGTATCCGCCCAATCTATTTGCACCATCTACCCACTTCAACCTAGCCTTTATACCAAGGATGCATACCTTTCTGGAGATAAAATCCCAGCTGTTCCCCCTCCCTGGACCTCACCTTTCCGATATCCTCCTTAATCTTTCCTTTAAACAATAGGCCACCAATCCACGCTCAAGAACGGCTCATATAATCCATCACTATGCTCAACCGATTACATCTCTTTTTAGTCGCCGCGGTAGCCGTTAGGGCGAACCCCATCGCACCCCTGGCCATCGATACTTTCATGGGTGTGTCCCTCCGCTCCGGCGACGCCAACGTACATTTGCGCGAGATCAATGCCAATGGAAACCGTTTTTATGTTAACAAGGACTCGTCGGCTTACTGTCCCCCCGATATTTCCGGTCTCGACTGCAGCGAATACGGAAACAACACGGTGTTCGCCTACAATAGCGAAGTTCAAACACTCGGCCTAGCCACGACGCTGCCCGGTGGCCAACAGATTTATGTGGCGGCCGATGGTGCCCTTAGCTACACGGTCCCTCACTCCGCCGCTATCCCAGCTGACGCCCTCGTGCGTAACTTCACCTATACGCCGGGGCCAAGCGAGAATGAAGTCGGCAATCTCAAGTTCCAAGATGCCGGATTTTCCGCCTGTCCGACTTCAGAGATGCCCATCTTCCAAATATTCGCCACCAACATCGCCGGTTACACACGCACAGATTGTACTGGCATCAACTTTGGCACAACGGGTTCCCAGCCCTCAGCATATCAATACTAAAGGAAGGGTAGAGATCTCATAGGTACTGGGAAAGTAAGGTCTCGCATAGGACAAATACAAACCGGGCCAAATTCACTCAACCGGGCGACATTTCATGGAAGCCGAATATAGGGCCAGCGGGAGCAAGGGCTTGGCTCACAGTTAAGAGTGGAAATGATAGCGGTAGAGGCGAGCCAGGGATAGTGAGATGAGTGGGTTCTGTGGATCTATTTGGAACACAAGGATTCCAGGACGTTGGTGAGAGCAACTTATGGGGTGCCGTTTGCTTTATAATTAAGCTACATGCAGGATAATACTCTATATATAACGTGTGCTACGATGTGTGCAAATCCGAAAATCTATAACTTTGTCAGAGAAACTCCACGTATTCCTCAGTGTGTCAAAGAGCTTTAAAACAGTCCTCTATTGCCTGAACCGGGCCATAGAATATGCAAGCGTCTCGGGTAGTTTCTTCAATAAGTGGCCATTGACTAGTTTTCAAGGTGATCATTCGGGGCTTGAAGTATACGAGAGATCACAGGATGCGACCCGTCGCACCTAAGAATATGGAACGAGGGAAGAGATGCCAATTTACCGGGAGCTTAGCATGGTTTCTATTCGGCAAGTTGAAGTTGGGTCTTTTTTTTTTGCATCAGATTTTAATTGCGTATGCAGCTATCTAGCTATGACACAATTAAGTTGGGTCATGTTCCGGCCTGCAAAAGACATGGGTTTCTCTCTACCTCAAGCATCTGCCCCGAATTCATCTGATGCCAAGCGTTGTGTCGGGATACCCTAGCTCGGCAAGTGGTATCTACGAGTGATCGTATTCCCATGTCCAACCCGATCATGGATCGAAAATCTATGCTGAGTGTTGTTTGAATGAGCCTCACCTAAGCTCTGTCCGAGTATTTCACGTTCTTTGCGAACTTCTAAAACGAAATGTACTCCGTAGGCTCCGGCGGCAGACGATTGACAATGTGCCAGCCTAATCCTGTGTACGCAACGGATTTGTCATAGATTGGCAGCATCGTTTATTCAGATGGAAACATTAGTAGTATACGCGTCGAGTCGAGTGAGAATTCTGGGTTACTGGCCTGGTCCGCTGTACCGAGCCTGCGGACGTCGAGGACTCAATCTTACTTCACACAGATGTCTCGTCGTTGCTTGAGATGTCAGGCAGACTAATACCGTTATTGATGAGTCGCTGCACACATGCTTACACTGCTAGTCCTCATCTCATGTATGATACTGATTCTTTCTAGAATCTCACCTTAACCTGTCAAGTCAATCTCTCCTCAAACTTATCTGTGGTAGAGGTCAAAGTGGTTGATGCACGGCTCTAACCGCCTGTCTATATTGGCCGGGGCTCTAGTGGAGTGCTAGAATTTGATAGAGATATGTGTTAGAGAATAGTTGAATGAGGGTTGATCATTCATGCCTAAAGTCTAAATAGGTGTTGATTGTGAATCAACACGCTGGCTCAATAGCGCCATCCGTACTCCTACAGGAGCTTAGCGCGGCTGCATCAGCTTGAATACCATCTCGTACATGAAATTGGTCCCAGCTTGATGACTAGACCACCTCAGACTTCGCCCCTCTGTCGAATCATGTCTTGTTAGGCAGCACAAAGGATCCGATCTGCCTCGGCCACACGCGCCGGCGCTCTCGACCGCTTTCCAATCTTGACTTTTACCCTTCGCCAGCCCCGAAACCGGCTCGTCCCAACTCGTCGTTGTCGCCTTATTCGTGGCCGGTCAAGCCCTTTTTCATTCCCATCTCCTACTCTATTGCAGCGTCAGCCTATTGTCGAATGACGTAATGACCTTTCATGTATTATCTTAGAAATGATGACTAATTATGTTGATGATTAATGAGTTGCCTGTTTAGGAATGGCGTCAGGAGAGAGGGACAACTGCTGGATATACGTGTTTCCTTTAGTTAGAGGAGAAGAATAGAAGATATATGTTAACCACCAATTGTAATTACTGCTACAGAAAGCTTGTGATATAAATACCACTCGAGTATTCCGACACCTATATTCTTGCTGATCTCTCCACTTTGAACGCTATTAACTAACCGTTTCTGCGTCGCTCCCATTCCTTCAAAGGTGGTGTCGGTTGCCAGTCGCAGCACTTTCCCCTTTTCCCGCAAAAGACCCGCCAAAGCGATACTTTTGCCTATATCTTCGAGGTCCCTGTCTCGCACGAGTATACGAAGAGTAAGGCGGGCTGCAGCATCTGCTTCTTCATCCTCTTGAATTCTTTATAATATGGGTACCCATTTCACGACTATGCTTACAAGATCCACTTGCGACATTGCTCAAGACAGTCGCTTATTACGAAAGCTCGAAGTAGTGACCCTGGAAAATATTGCAGTCCTAGCTTGCCGGCTACCAATCAACACCAAATTTAGTTGCGATCCTTTTCCTCAACTCTGATTATATAAGCCGATTATCCGCAGCGTCGACTCCAGAGCTTTCCTTGCACCGACAGTCTCAGTGTCAGGTATCTCCTCTCCATAAAAGATAGCGAAATCCCTGCAAATAGCCAAGACCATGTGTTTGACGGTTAGCGATAGATATCCACACTGGAACTTTGGATAAGTGACTCCGCCGCCTCTCCGGTACAAATACGAGTTGAGACTGATGATAACGCTTCTTATCTGATGGCAAAGAACTTTGCCATGTGTAAAGGATTTTTTCTTAATTTGATTAAATTGAACGTCGGCCCAGTCTCCAACAGACTCACTGCTGCCCTAGCGCGCATTTTAGCACCCAGTATCTACAAAGAGCCCGACTAGCTGTCCGCAAATCTAATATCTAATGTAGATGAAGCAGATATCCCTCTACTGTGAAATTCACATCTATTTCACGAGTATTTTGAAATTACTTCTGCTGATGGCGTAATGTTTAAGGGGTTTCCGAAAGGCCATACTACAAAAGAAAAAGTAGTCCATTTGTCGATCTTGATTTCCTTCTACTCGGGCTTCATGTGGGGGAATTTATGATAATTGATTCTGATGAATCTATTATGTGTTATTCACTTGGGTTATGTATCGGAGTCGGTGGAAAGCCGGGAAGAGAGACGGGATTGACTGAAGGCCGAGCCGGCTTCGGGAACTCCGATGAAAGAGATTTGATATCATTGGTCCCTGAAATGTGGTCGGTATTGTCAAAGTATTCACAAATCAAGTAGTCTAGGCTGAGGACCAAAGGTCGAGACGGAGTTGGGCCAATTTGGCGTATATACATAGAGATGAGATAGATATGAGAGGACACGCACAAGATTTTTTTCTCAAACATCCTAACTGAGTCTATTCGATTGATACCATCCATCCACCTCTCATTCCACGCGGAGTCTCTCCCTGCAGAGAGAAACAATCAGTGGATATGCTGGACTTGGTCGCACAGCTTTGTAAGCTCTATCCATCTAGTGTCGGGGCGGGGATACCGGAGTCCACCATGGAGGCGAGCCCGAAAACTTCCTGTAGTACATTGGAAGAAGTAGTGTGGGCTTTTTCTTCGCCGCAGAAGCAAGTTTCTAGAGTATCTTCGTGTGCGAGCCGCCGATGATAATGAGCGAAATCTGCGTGTCTGGAAGGAGCTGCAATCAACACCTCAAATGTGCGTTGGCTTAAAGCTTCCAGTCTTGACTTACTCCTCGACTACGGCCAATTCCTAAAATGCGGTGGTGGAAGCTTTATATTGCAAAAATCCCCTTGTGCCATTGCTATGGTTGGAAAAAGCATAGCGCAGTCATCACACATGCCGACTCAGCTAGAGCATCTACTGCTTTGTTTTAAGAGATTTCCGAATATCCAGGGCACCATAGGATGCTGAATATTCCTGCCCTAGTACAGGATGCGCTGGTATATCACAACAGCTGGATTCGAGCTGCCGGAACTTCGCAATTTGGCGAGAGCTGGTTGCAGTAGGCGGAAGCAAAAGGAGTCGAAGAGCCGCTCCTCAGCTATCTAGATAGACGCTTACGTTAGATGAATATGCACACCTCATGTTGTCCTGGTGTCTAGGTCTCACCAGGCTGGGGCTGCAGCTTTTCTGAGGCTTTTTATTATTTTTGGGTAGAAAGTTCCGTGGAAAAAGTGGCCGAATTCCACGGGTAAACACTGAGCTGAATGGCTATTCATCAGGGGGAATATATCAATGATCTCTGAAGTAACAAAAGAGGATAGGAGCACCGCACATGGTGTGGCCTGAGTCAGAGAAGAGCCCAATGTGCTAGATAGTCATAGACTCAAGTAGCAGAATAAACTGACCTTTCTCTCTCTCTCTGCTGAGGTGCCCAGAGATTCTTGGTTTGAGCAATTTAACGTGTCCGGCTAAAGCCCTACACCCGGGAGGCTTGTCACGGGTGCACATTCTCGAAGGACCCACAACTACCACTGAAACTAGCTTTATATAGCAAGAAATTTATATGAATGAAAACCGAGAATATAAAGGAAAATTTCTACTGCGCTGACTCGACGACCTGCGCCTCACCAGCTTTCTCATAACAGTCTGCCTGTAATATTTGTACACCAGTAAACCTCGGTCATTCTAGTCTAACTTTACTCTCCGTAACATCCCTTCACGGTAAGGAATCGACAAAATGCTTCCCATTCCTTTTCTTCCAGCAGCGTCCATCCACTTGGCACCGTTTCGTTTGTCTTCTTCGCCATTGTTTTAGTGCTGCCCGGCATTCCGAGAGAAGCCACAGGCGTCTCTCTCTCGGCCACATTTGCACTCGCAATCTATTGCCTCGTGGTGAAACCTTTCATGATACTTGGAGAAGTTTCCATGAACAGTCCTAGCTGCCATCAGTCGATGTTACGCCCATCTTGGGAGAGCTAGCTCCGGTGTTTGTTCTCGTTTCTTTAATGTTGGAAGTTGTGTATTGGTTCTTAGAGGAAACTCACTCAAAGAATATAGGCACAACTTTAATACACTTCGTATTTAATAAATCAAATAAATTATTCACGTAATCTTGTTTAATATTATTGTATTATTAGAGAAATATGAT